AATCTGATTCTCACCTTGTAGAAAAACGGGCTAAACGGCGTGATTTACCATTAGCTTAATTGACTTCTTTAAGATCAAAACTCAGGGGCTGAGTCGAAATATTACGAGTCAAAATGGCGGTTTAACTGAAAGATCCCCCCCTCTCTGGCAAGAGGGGGTCCTTCAGCTTAGGAGCTGCTTCTCCTTCCTCCTTCTTTGGTGACTTTTTCTTAACAACCAAAAACCTACTAGCTTCATCTTTGTGCATTAACTTTTAAAACCTCTGTCATGGGCGGAGTCAAGGTTTCCAGCCAGCCAATTGAAACTCTGGTAAAGTTTTTTAACCAATCAAAATGTCTGGCGGGAAAAACAAGGTTCTTCAGACAAAGAATGGGAGTGTCTCTAGTCTAATCATCTTGCATCTAATTAAAAGGGAAGACATCTGCTTTTCATCAGTTCACTAAGAATGTTTATCTAGTTAAATTCAAACCTAAGGTTTCCTAAGATTAATTCATGAAATCACACAGTTTAAAGAAACATCTTTTTCAATAAAACACACAATTGGAACAGTTCTTAGTGGGATAAGAACACAGTGGTTTTCCTCTTTTTATATATTTTAATGAAGAATGCGGGATCCTTTGTTCTCAGTCATGCTGGAAGGTTCTTAAGGGAATGTTATGACACCTTTCCTTTCTTTGAAGAAATGTAAATAGATTGTCCTTCTGGGGGTTGGCTGGAAGGTGATAATGCAGATTCCTTCAGTCTTCTGAGGCACCCTGATACCAGTTGATATGTTAATTTGAAGCACAGGACCCTGCAAGTTCTTTAACAGAAGTCTGCAAAATATATCTGACTCTTTTCCCAAAAGTCGTAACAAGTTATGTCCATCAGAAATCATAAATTTGAGGTAGGAAACCGCTACATTAGGTAACTTTGACTTGATTTAAAAATGTACAATGTCATGTTTTCGAGCATAGCCCCACCCAATGGTAGACTTAAAGTTACACCCTTGGTCCATCACAGGGACACATGGAGACTAATGAACCTGCATGTCTTTGGTCTGTATCAGAGGAAACTGGAGAAACTCCTCGGGGAAACAGAAATTGTGTGAACACGTGGGTCCTGCAGAAACTTTTTCAGAGGAGGTCTTGGTGGGGGGGCGCATTGAAAAACCAGGGGTGACACACCAAAACTAAAATCCATAAGAGAAGTTATTTGATGATTTTGTAAAATGGCTAATTGAAATCTGGTAACATAAAAACTTTCTATTTATTATTAGGGCAAATTTATCACAAAGTTAAATCTTATAATAAAAAAATAATGGCAACAGTACCAATTATTTGTCTTTAAATAACCAGACTCTTAGCTTTTCCCACATCTATTTAGTGACTTCTACTCAGAAGCTGATTTTGCTGCACTCCTTTTAATTAATTAATAAATCAGCAAGCTTTTTCAATGAAAGTGTGACCTAAATCCTGATTTTATTGATCAGAATTGACTAAAGTGAGTAATTTTTTTCCCCAATTGAAACCTAGAAAATTGCAAAAATTATTTCAATAAGGGAATCCTGCAAAACACTTTTAAAGTTCTGGATCTAGATTAATTTATGCATCAATTTCCTGCAATAAATCTGACTATTTGTTTAATTAAAGTATTCAATGCTGTGTTTATTGTTGAGCAGGTAAATGAAAATTATTTTTGGCCCTCAAGTCTTTCTGACTTTAGGATTTCGGCCCACGTGACAAAATGTTTGGACACACAGCAAAAATGCCAGTATTATTTTAACACCCACAGTGTTCATTTCAACACTAACAAAGTGTCTATATGTGTCTACACCTGCTGGTGTTAAAATAACATTTGTGAAAGTGTTAAATTTTAACACCCATTTTTTGATAATTTAACACCAACCAGTGTTTAATATTCAACAATACTAGGTGTCATATTAACATTTCAGCAGTGTTAAAATAAAGTGTTAAAAGTATCACTAGTGTATTATTATTAACAAAGGAACTTGTGTTTGAAAGCTTTACAGACAATACAAGGTGTCCGTCCACACACCATCAATTTGAGAGTGTAAATTTAACACTCAGAGTTAAAGGATACTAAAGAAAGTAATAAAGGGTAAAGGATGAAAAGACCACACTTGAAAGAAAAGAGACCAAACTAACATCAATAAAGGAAAAAAAAGCAAAAAGAAAAAAATAGTATAGGTCTTCTGGACGGGTTCTCCTCTAATGAAACGTTTCGTCTCTCCTCCAAGAGACTTCTTCAGTCTGAGAGTTTCAGGCTAAATTCAGGCTTTTAAGCACTGCCTCCATGTGACTGATACTCACATCACATGGCTATCGTTGATATCTTGGTTTGAGAGAGGAGTAAAAGAAGCCATTTTTGTGAAGAAAGACCGTCCATCATTAAACAG